TGAAAGGCAAGTGTGCTAACCACTTCGCCACCGAAGCCCCACACTGATAATCTCACACTGATAATCTCACATGTCAAATAATCTCACATGTCACACTGATAATCTCACATGTCTCCCAAAGCTCTCACACTGATAATCTCACACTGATAATGTCTCACATGTCAAAATTATCGCTTTTCTGTAAAAAATTATCACTTTTCAAAGACTGTCCTTTTTATAATAAACAGAAAAATACATGTATTATTCTCTATATAACTCCCTACTAATTTTTTTGTGATTAATTGTGTCTTGTGCGCTTTGTTTCTCTGGTATTGATATTTCCGATATGATTTGACTCAACCAAATTTCGCTCGTGTAAAATGCTTTACCGAACACGCTTTGTAATACTAAATTTCTATGTACTATTTAGACCTAATAAAACACGACCTGTAAGTTTTTTAAATGGCTTCAAAAATGTTTGCATAATAAGTCAAATCTTTATATAAAAATCTTTATATAAAAATCTTTTTGTGAAATCTTTATATAGTTTGCATAACAATGGTCTTTTGTTAAAGTGTTCTTTAGCTGGTATAAAGACGTATGCTTTGGATAATTGCTTCATGAATTATTAATGAGTTTTTGAAAGGTAATATATTGTATTTCGATTGTAGTAAAAGTTACAGTTTGAAGTTGTGTGCGTATGTATTTAAGTTTGGTATTTCCAAACTAAAACTGCAGTTTATAGTTAGCGCTAATCCAGCCTTGCAGCCTTGATTCCTTGAACAACCAGCTCCAGGCAAAAATGTCAAGGGAAAGATAGTGTTTTCAACCATGTTTTAACATGATGAACTTACTCGAAATTGTTGATTTCTGTCATAGCTATACGAAGGGGTAATTTAGTTTGTTTGTGATTGTGTCTTGTATGCTTCAAAATCCATTTCTTTGTCTGGAATTAATATTTCCGATATGATTTGATTCGATCAAATTTCACTTGTGTAAAATTCTTTATACGTAGCATGCTTTGTAATAATACTGAGATTTCTAGGCAATATAATGTATTTCGGTTGTAGTGAAAGTCACGGTTTGAAGTTGTGTGCATATGTATTTAAATTGGAAGGGCTATAGCAAGTTCCGTATTTCCAAACTAAAAGAGCATGTGAAAATTTTTCTGCACAGAGGAACCCAGGTGTGTGCACGAAGGATATATACTGATTTATTGAGCGCAGAGAGTTATTACTATTCCGGCATTTGGGTTGGATCTTGTTTTCACTATATCTTAACACTAGGTTATTTGAAATTGTTGATTTCTACATATAGTTAGGGCAAATTGTAGGTATTTCCTGTTATGCATGTGCCTATAATTATAAACTGCCTTGCGATCGAATATATTAAATATATTCTTATCGAGTTTTAATTGGGCATTTCCAATTTATACTGACTGGTTTATAGTTACATAATTCCTTACGATTTATATTTCAAAACGATTCAAAGCATTTCTGATTATAATCCAGACAGGCTTATACTAATATTATTTTATTATTTTTTATTGTTTTATCGAAATTTGCGAGTCAGTGTTTCCGAACACACCCAGAAGTACTGTCCGTAATTGGCTCAAGGCTTTAAAGATCGAAAGCGTTGTTTGTACACCTGAAGAGAGGTCTGTTTTTCGGACTGCAAATCCCACCCTCTGTGGAGCGTTTGGTTTAGTATCGCATACAGATCTGGCGAAACTGATTGAATATCGAAGCAAGCAAACCAGTGCACTTCACTTCAGTTCCAGCAGCATTGCTAGCAGCACACAGATTTCCACCTGTTTATCGACTTGCAATGTTGAAAGCGATACAGAAAAAAATTACGATAATGTACTTCAAAACATTGTAACGTATAGTGACTCTGACGAAGACAAATAGGGGTTGGGTCAGAGTGACATTATTATTTAGCATAAGTCGCCGGAAAAATGCCACAATGAAAGTTTCGTTAACACTCGTGTGGACCTATTGGTTACAGAGAGTCCATTGAAAACAAAGAGGTCAAAAACTGTCTTATCCCCCGAAGAAATTCCTGAAAGCTTAAAAGTTGAAATTCAAAGTTTGAAAGAATTTTGTACGAAAGCGTTAAATCCCCTTGCTTGTGGACGTAGCATGTCAAATGGAACTGCTAACAAACTTATAGAAAGGTTATTGAGTTTTATGTTTTTTTTGTAGTAAAGTTAAGAACAAGTCGGATTTATCTTTATCACTTGTCAATGATAGTGAGCTGTTCACGAGTTTTATCGAATATCTCAGGGATCTAAGAAAACTTAAGCCTTCAACAATAGCTAATTTTCTAGGTGTAGCCATTAGTGTAGTGAAGTATAATGTTACTAATGACACGACTGCAGACCCTGAAAATGCGCCTCAAATTAAGGCATACGCTCTTTCCAGTGTCGATTTTTACAGGACGCTTATCAACTTTCAAAATGCAAGAAGGAAGGTTTCAGCAAAAAGTCCAGCCAACAATTCTATTTCGCGCACGTCCTGGAAATGCTTAGAAATCTAAGAGACAAGTATTTAGAATGCGGCGGGGTGTAAAAAAATTTAGGCACCTTCATGATTTTGTACTTTTAGCATTGTATCTTCGGGCTATGCCAGGTAGGTCCAAGGAACTGTGCACGCTACAGTTGCATGATGAAGCTGAGGCATCAATTCGATTACGCTAGTTTTGAGCATGGAAATTTTGTCATATTTGATCTCAATCAAAAGGTTCTTATTAGAGGTGTGCGTCGGATCGGATTGACCTCTCTCAATCCGATGGTTTGTCTAAGTTCTCAATCCGAATCCGATCCGAAGATGAAAAAAGTAATCCGATCCGATCCGAAACAATGTTTATAAAATCTGATCCGATGCTAAAATTCGTAATCCGATCCGATCCGAACTTAAGTTGTGTACGCTGTACAGCGTGCGTTAATTATTATGAACGTATTTTTTCATGATCATAAACGATATATTGGAAATAATGAATTTCTAGCAAAAATAAGCAGATACGAATCCGATAAAAATTGCAGGGTTACACAGTAACAGCAGTTTATATTTTATTAGAATTAGCATAGAAAAAAAACCCAACTAGTCAAAAATGTTTTATTCAGTATAATAAATCATGAGCTTGAGCTAGGTTTACATTTTAAAACATCTTAAAGTTTATCACTAATAAACCTCATTGTCAGGCTTCATGATACATAAACCTAACAAACCAAACAAAAAAACACAACATTCCTAAATTTCCTATATATCCAATTCCCGCACGTAACTGAGAAATATACATCCAAAATCCAAATAACTCAACAACCTCGTTCCCAGGGTCTTTCTTAGAACGGCGCAAGGCAAAGGAAAGACCCTGGTTTCGGCTGGTCACGTGTCACCCAGATTCTGGGTGATAAATTAAAATGATACTATGGGCAGGGTGGGAGAGGAGCATGTTTGTCGCGTTTGTAACTATATTTGCAATTCTGTGTGATGAAATTTAAATTTGCAACAAGAAATCGTGAAGAGAACTGCAATTAAAAATTAATATTTATCGTGATGTGACTTTCTGCTCTATAATCTAGTGTCGAGTTACAATTCAAGCAAGTTGGATCAGATTTCAACTTACAAAGAAAGCACGCCTGGGCGGCGTGGCAATATTAAGCCTACAAAAAAATTCATATCTCTAGACTGACCAATGTGGTTTATATTTATTTAACTGTTAGTATTAAAGTATATCCTGATACTCGGACCAAAAGAATATACCAATATTGACCAAGAAAAAGGCTAAAGCCTTACTATAATTAATGAATACGAATTATGTACTAAATCCAAAATTTTAAAGATAAATCACTGACAGACATTTCTCTGTTTGGCTAGTATCAAATGTTTACATTTGCTGATATTGGGCTCTCTCTAGTCCTAGACAATACAATACGATACTGTTTCTTTAATTTCTCTTATAAACAAGACGTGCAAATCATAGCAACGTTTACAAAAAAAGGACAAATCTAATGCTTGTTTTAAATACATTAGATATGTAGAAATGCTGACCACTGAAAGGCCCATAAACGTTTGTTATAAAACCGCACTCGAGTGTGAAGAGAGCATTGAATAAAACAACACGAGAGAGCACTGCGAGTAACGATTTGCTTGGTTTCTTGACTGTTGGTAAAAATGTAAGAATGTTCTTGTAAATTCAATGCAAATAAAATTAGCAAGTATTTTGAACTTACTGGTAATAGTTCGCAAAATTTATGTTTTTAACTGTTTGTAATTTGATACTTTCACCACACCCCCCTCGGGCAATCAATTTTGGACGAGGCATGTGACCAGCTGATACCAGGGTCTTTCCTAAAGACCCTGGGAACGAGGTTGATAACTCAAAACTCTTTTTAGAAATATATGTCACAAGAACTCAAAACACTTTTATACCAGGTGTTCAAAAAAAAAACTGGACACTGTTTGATTTCATACAACGTAAAATCATACGCATTTTCATAATTTACAATTTCACAATTTCAATAACGTAAAATCATACACAATATCATATCAAACAGTGTCCAGTTTTTTTTGGGACACCCGGTACTTTATTGTCAGCACTCGGCATAATATAGTAGCTATTACTCCGCTGAGTCCGCTTCGACCAAATCGGTCTGCTCATTTGGCTCCAAAGCCTTCCAGGCACTTCCTGCCATATAGCTTTGGATGCACAGCAAGGCGTTTAGATTACGTGGAGCTAGACGCATACGCCTAAGGTTGATTGTCCACCCCGCTTGCGAGAAACTTCTCTCTGATGGAGCGCTGCTAGCTGGGCAAGCCAAAATAAGCCTGGCAACCAGTGCTAATTTCGGGTAGCCTCTTGCATGATCCCTCCAGAACTTCAGAATATCAAGGTGCTTGTTTTTATCCTTGTACAGGTCAAGGTCGAAGTCGTTTCCAGTAAACCTTCGAAATTCATTGACAATCGATAATACCTTTTGCTTTTCCTTATAAAGGGCAAACTCGGGTTCTTCGATCTCATCACAAGGATTCTTCTTCCTTTTCGGAGTGGGGGGACTTAATTTCTGAGACCTTATGTAATAACAATAAGAAAACAATATAAATTTGTAACGTTATTCCAAAAATGCAACAAAACATATCGATAATATTTACAGAATAACAATATTAAAATCTTGAAATCCAGCGGTAACTTGTGTTTAGTTACCTCTTCTGAGTCTTCTCCGTCAGACAAAAGCGAATGGTCGTTATCATCACGAGTTTCGTCGCCATCTACACCTGTGATACGATCGTGAACATTCTCGATCTTTTCACAAATCTTCCGCCGGCTGTCTTCATCTGTAGGTTCGCCCACTCTTGGGTCCAGCGCGGAAGCTACATCGTGGTACACGTTAAGTCGACTGCTTAGTTTTGTCAACAGAGCTTTCCTCCCAACTTCTTTCATCTTTCTTATTGCCGTCATGTCCTGTTCGTGAACTGAAAAAGCAGCCTGAAGTTTTGCTTCCCAGTAATGTGCCCTATGCAATGTTGGTTCCTTATCTTTCTCGAGCTCCAGGCCACAATCATGCAGGGGCTTAAAACACACGAAGTCTGTATGAGAAGAATTTTGTTTATATCTTCTAAATATTTGAGCTCATTTCTGGCATCAAGAATGTTTTCAAGTTCTTCCCAGCGGTTGATGATAGACCCAATCATTTCACGGTAGGTATAAAATCGAGTTGCTATGGTTTGTTTAAGGGTCGTCATTAACTTACTTTGCAAGTCTGTCCGTTTTACATGCTCCACTAATTTCTTAGCTGCTTCCACATTCAACTTTACTTCGGCTGCCTCATCGGAAGTGACGCAGGCTTTAGCAACCAACGAGCTTATGTGCGAAATGCATCCAATTTGATCATCACTGTCCAGAAGGCGAAATGCTGCTGGCATGGTGTTGGTGTTATCTGTGGTGACAAGCCGAAAGGGAGCCTCAGGAACGTTTTCAAGGTAGCACTTGGAAATACTAGGTGCTCTGTGATCCTCAAGGTTGTATTCGGTTGTTGACCAAATAAAGCTGCTAAGGTTATTCCAGTCAGTGTCAATATGATGAACGGTGACAGACATGTAGCTTTTACCAGTATATTTCTCCTTCCACAAATCGGTTGTTGTGCAAAATGCATCTCCATTCAAAGACTTGAGAATATCAGCGCGAACGTCTTCATGACGTTTCGGTAGGTAATTGCGGGTTAGATTTGTCCGATCGACGATGTGTTGCGCAAGATCGAAGTTTTCTCCGTATCGTGCCCCAAACCTTGCTGCCGTTCTGAACATAATCTTCATGCCTTCCTTTTCGTACCGAGAAAGCGGGCTTGAATCGAGAGCTGCGGCGTTTATGGCATTAATCTGCAAGGATTGATGATCGTGTTTGCTGAGCTTCACTTGTGATGTGCTTTGACTACTGCCAACTTTCGACTTGCCTAGGAAATCGAGCGTTGATTGCCCTTTCACTCGTTTCAACATGTCCTTAGGGCAGACGTGCTTGTTCAATTGTGCGTTCCCTTTCGACGAGCTATACTTGTAAATAGTAAAACATTTATGACAAACTGCCATGTCCTCATAAGTCACCCCGTCAACTTTTGGGAAGCCAAAGAATTTCCAACACTCGGATCTTTTCTTTCTATCTTCAACTCGTGTTATTATGACACGATTTGACTTCTCCCGGAGTAGTTTTTCAACCACATCTTTCTTGAGTTTAGGGCCCGGCTGAACCGGCCGCTTATATTGCTCGGGAGCTTCAGCCATACTCAAACTTTGGAAAGTGAAATTATTTACATGAACACTCTGACAATGTACAGTCTACACTTTACACTCCGCTCAGTTCACTCTACAACGCTACATTACTTCACGATCAATTAGCACATCTACAGCAAAGAATGTGGTAAAGATTAAAGAAGTGCTGTAACACGCGCTCAAAGCAAATGCATATAAATTAATTAATTAAAAACCACTTGGTAATGACTGCAGCATTCGGTAATTTTTTAATTTTCATACATTTCTCAATCAACTAAAGCCGGTTTTCCACTAGCGAATTATTTCGCGCGAAGCGACTAAATAGTCGTTTGGAATTTTGGAACTAATTAGTTTTAGACAAAAGAATAAAGTCAATTCACGCGAAAAAAATCGCTAGTGGAAAACTCGCTTAATTTAACAGCCTTAAAAGTTCAGTGGTTAATATGTAAAATAATGTTCCGTAAGTTCAGTAAATTTTGCTTATGTTCCCCAAAATTATTATAAAATGAAGTATTGTTTCGATCACTGTAACCATGGTAACACGAATATTTATCTTTTTGTCAAAAATGGTGAAAATATTTGTATTTTTAACTATTAAATTACCAATTTCCAAGCTGTGTAAGCAGAATTGTAAGCACTAAGCAGGCAGTCTTATAATGTTCTCCTTTACTAGCTTAGTAGCTAGCTTTAGAGTTTAGGCTATGAAATTCAATCTAACTAGAACTTAAGTTTCAAGTTTCAACCGCCTGATGTAAATAACCGTATAAAGTATAAACTATAAAGTATAAACTAATATTAAAAACAAAGAACTGATAGCTACGGCAAAAGACTATAACACTTTAAAAAAAATCCCTCTTAGCCTTAACCGTTTTTTATTTTTCAATGCTTCAAAAATCAAAACACAACATAGTACAAATTTATACAGTAGCATATACTTCTACTTTCAGTCTTTCACAATAAAACTATTTAAAATTTAAATGTCATAACAACAATATAACGTAGTATTTAGCTTTTACCATGGATGCAATCCATTCTTTTACCCACCTGATTTGATTTAACTGTTAGTATTAAGAAGATTGTAGAAGTTTAGAAACAGTAACGTAAAAGCAGCAGAATTTTCTCGAAACGTTGTGCTGTTTTTGAATAGCCGAGGCCCGAGGGGAGATTGGGTGGCATAATGGCATTCGTTATTCGCGATTTCGCGAGCGAGCAAAACGTTACTTTGACTTTGTAGTTTGTAGTTTGTATGGACTATATGGATTATGGAATTACTTTTATGCTCAAAGCCATTGTGAATTCTGATGCCATTTGTAACGTAAAAAGTGGAATACAGCTGCAGAATATAGAACTTTCTCAATTTGCAAAAAATATTCGAATAATTCAACGTGATACAAGAAAAATCAAATCCGAACCGATCCAACAAAAAACCTGCAAAATCCGATCCGATCCAACAGAAATAAAACGAAATCCGATCCGATCCGAGTAATTTACTGTCCGAATCCGATCGGATTCGGATCGGATTCGCACACCTCTAGTTCTTATTGTCCAGTCCAAATTCAAAACAAGCAAAATGACAGGTCCAATCAAGTTAGACATATCCGATGATAAGGTTTCGATTAGAGCAAGCACAACTGCGATGAGGCATGCCATTGTTACATACTTTAATAGCATTGACGAATCGAAGGATGTTAATTTGTGCAACAGCTTAGCAGCGCTCATGAAACACTCAGTATGTTATCAAGAAACAGTGTATTGCGACCAGACTCACAACGAAAAAACTAAGGCAGGTAGATCTCTGATGATCTGAGAAGTGCCTATAAAAAGTGAAAAAACTACTGAGCATTTTTCTAACAGAAAGGTTATATCTCAAAGAAAATTAAAGCGAAATTAAATAATTTTCGAAGTTTAAAAAAAATGTGAAAAGTAAAAAAAACTGAAGCAAGGAGTGAAACGCCCCTCTGTGTTTATAAGGCGGTGCTGTTACACTATAGAAATTATCACGCCGCTTGTCTTGCAATTTTGTTGTGCCAGTTACACACAAAATTACAAGGTGTAAAATGCCTTACAATCATCAAGTCTCACAACATTTTGGTTACAACAAGCGTTGCACAATTGCAATGCAATATTAAAATCATTCTTGTTAACATTGCGAGACAAATTGTGTGGTGTTAACAGCGCTTATAATGTTATAGTGACGGAAAAACCACAGGGCAAGAAAACAGTATTTCCAATATAATCACGATTGTACAACTTACCGTAAAATTAGGGAAAGTTTGTTTCTTAGCAAGAAAGTGAATGAAGACAGTTGTAAAAAAGATTGATGCGTGTTTCCTATCCTAGACATTCAAACGCAACATTGCTGTTGCATTTTACAGGATGCATATTCTAGAAATATGTTTCATTTTATATTTGAAATTGGCTGCTTTTCGAGTCCTGTGTTAACTGTTATATCGTTAAGTTGATAACATTAAAAATGACTGTACATTGTTGCATGCATTTTGGGAAAACACGGGGATATATCAAGCAATACCTAACCAATAGATACTATGTTACATTTAACAAATATAAAACATTTTCCGTGTTGATATACAGTTATATCAACACAAGTGGAAATTGGGAAAACGAGAAATTGTGTGGAAACATGACACCCAAAGGGCGGAGTGTTTTCACACAATTTCGAGTTTTCCCAATTTCCACAAGTGTTGATATAACTATATATCAATACAGAAAAAAGTTTTATATTTGTTTTATAATATAGCACGAAGAAATATAAAGAACGAAATTTTCCGACGTCTCCGTGTTGACATTGAGTTATATCAACACGGCTCTTAGCCAATCAGTGTTCTGAATTTACAAATGCTATATTATATTAATGTTATGTTAAGGTGATGAACTCTTCTCGAGATCACTTATATACTTAATGGAAAGTTGTGCGATGGATGACATTGTCATCGATTATGACGTAATCAAGACGTCGTCGTCCAGTGAAGTCGTGCGTGCGTAAGCTCTCTGATATATATAGGTATGCAACGTCATCTAAACTAAATTTGGTCAATCATATATCACTCATGTTTGGTTGAAAAGATCTTTTATGCAATTGTTTCTGAGATATTGCCATTTTGGTGAAAGCTTGGAGTTCAATCATGAATTCACCATATTGCTTGCCACTTTAGGGGGTGGTAACATTGTAACAGCTTGCCGCTTAATGAGTTAAGCCATTATTTTATGGAGCTTCTATTAAAGTACATTTTATCTCCTTGTATTAAAAACGACATTATTTAAAGTTGTATTTGACCACTCGGTTTATTATATGCAGAAGCGCTGATAAACTCATAAAAGCATATTGTTTGCATCTAGAAAAACATTGAAAATTTCAGTGCCTAATAATATATATTACCGGAAAGAAATAAAGTCATACTTGCCTTTATATTTTGGAGAGTTTTTGTTTTTTCGTCCAGAATACTGAATATATCTTGAGTTGTAGTCACATGGAATTCGAATTTCGAAGGGTGCGTGCACCTCCTCACATTACAAACAAACTTCATCCCCCGGAAAACCGACATCCAGAATGACACAAGTTAAGATTCTCACCAATACATAACTCACGCGGGAGACTGAGTCAAGTGGACTCTGGGGCAACCATCAGACGTCAAGAATAGTGTGCTGCCTCGCTGCGCTCGGCAGCAACAAATACGGGCGGTTTAAAATGTTTTCAATTGAATTTTCGAAGCTTTTATCTATCGATATGATAATCAAACTGTGAAAATGCCGGCTTTTGTTGACGCTTGCAAATGCAAAATAACTTCCCGTAAACAGACTACAGAGCATTTCTACACAAAACTCTCGCTTAGTCTTCTGAAGCCCTTTTACATTTGGTTCTACTAGTTAAGGTTACAGAACACCTTTGAGTGTTAACTTTGACTAAATTTTTTTTATTGGTTTCCATGAAAGCATTAGACTAGTTCTACTATCTGACCAAGTTTGAACAAAAAATGTTGAAAACTTGCAGAGTTATATTTAATAAAATACATTTCGCTGCAATAAGAAAAACATTGAAAATGTAAGTATTCAAATTCAATTTTCTCCCGAAGAATTTTACGGTAATTACTGATTTTCAAACGAGTTGTGTGCTCCTGCGGGTTTTGACCAATTTTTCTCAAATTTTCATAGGACATATCTAAAGATTTCAGTTTCAAAATTGTGTTCGGCTTTTTTTAAAATTTTGGATATTTTGGTAATAAAGAGCAATTCACTCAAACAATTCAGAAATATATTGCAGTCGTCAAATAAATCACCATATCAGTGGAATGACGAAATAAACAAACAATTCCGAACACAGTTTTTTAGAACAACTATTTTACTTATTTTACCAATTTTTCTCAAATTTTCACAGGACATGTATAAAGATTTCAGTTTCAAAATTGTGTTCGGCTTTTTTTTAAATTTTGGATATTTTAATAATAAAGAGCAATTCACTCAAACAATTCAGAAATATATTGCAGTCGTCAAATAAATCGCCATATCGGTGGAATGACGAAATAAACAAACAATTCCGAACACAGTTTTTTAGAACAACTATTTTACTGTATAAAAATGATATTTTCATAACTACAACTTAAAACCAGCAGGAGCACAACTCAAAAGCGTAACGGTACCGCAATTTAAGATTTTCCTGAATAATTCTTATATTATTTTATTGTTTGTTAATTTTACAACTTTACCATATTTTGCATACACTGGCGAACATTTGGTGGCATTTGGTGAAAATTTTATTCAAATTGGACTGATATTGAGCATGTAGTAGCGATTTTCAGCAAAACGCCAAAAAGGGTGTCCTGTAATCTTAAACAGGGAAGGTAGGCAAGAAACACTGGTAAATTATCATGATGTCAAAAACATTTCGGTGCTGAGCCGAGGCGAGGCAGTACAAGGTCTGAAGGCCAAGGGCAAGGTCAAGTTGTCGATTTCATTACATTTTACAGTACTTCGAATGTTTTCAAACTCTTGCTTCATACATCGAATCTCTATTTGCTGAAATTAATAACCCCAAGGGTAAAAATATAATTGTCGGATCGATATATCGTCCACCTAATCAAAACCATTCTTCTTTTAATGATAGATTATGTGACATACTGTCAAAGATTACAAGAAATAACAAGTTATATTGCAGGAGATTTCAATATTGACTTACTAAGCTACAATGAGTATGCTCCAACTCAGGCATTCGTTGATTGCCTGTTTTCGCATATGTTTTTACTGTTAATAAACAAACTAACACGCATCACTGCACATTGATAATATATTTACAAATAATATTTCAGACAAAGTCTTCAATGCTATCCTAATTAATGACCTGTCAGATCATTTGCCTATATTAAGCTATTTATTTGACGATTCAATTACAATAAATAATCAGTCATATAAAGTAATAAGAAATTTTAATGAATCGAACACCAATTTATTTTGTTCATGTCTTTCTGAGACCGATTGGTCAGAGGTTTTGACAGAACAAGATCCTAATGAAGCATACAATAAGTTTCATGCAAAATACTCTGAACTTTACGATCTTTGTTTTCCTTTGGAACAAACTAGTAATAAATGTAAGAAAAATTTATTATCTCCTTGGATTACAAAAAGTTTATTGATTTCAATTAAAAAAAGAAAAAAATTATATAAAAAAATATTATCTTCGCCAAATCCTACTCGTGAATCATACTACAAAAAATACAGAAATAAACTAAATCATCTGATCAGAACTGCTAAACGTACTTACTATGATTACCCGATTCATTTTGGCAAAAACTAATCTAAAAGAAACTTGGAAATTAATAAATGAAGTAATCAACAAATCTAAAAGTAAAACTCCATTGTCTCCAACCTTTAATTAACTATGGGAACAAAATATTAACAGACCCACTTGAAATTGCAAACAGCTTTTGTGTATACTTTACTATTGGTCCTAACTTAGCGGAAAAAATTCCTGATGTGAATATGCCATTTAGTACATTTTTATCTAATCGTACAAAGGATAGTATATTTCTAATTCCTACTAATGTTACTGAATTAACTAATATCTGTTACTCACTTAAGTCAGGAATGACTGCCGGATTTGACAATATAGTCATGAATGCAATAAAACTATCCTTTGAATTTATAGCTTACCCTCTTGCCCAAATTATCAATCGTTCAATTTCAAATGGAGTATTTCCTGATAAGTTGAAGATAGCTAAGGTAATCCCAGTTTTCAAAACTGACAATCCTGAGTATTTTATAAATTATAGACCCATATCTCTCCTTACAAATTTTTCAAAATTTTATGAAAAACATATGCATAATCGTATCACTAATTTCATCAATCGATTCGAAATTTTATACCACTTACAATTTGGATTTCATAAGAATCATTCAACTGTGACGTCACTTATTCATCTTAGGCCTGTTTCATACGCTGTACTTCACATGTGCCGAATACATTAAAGACAATAGATAATGAGCTGAAATGCCTCATTACCTATTGTTTTTAATGTATTCGGCACATGTGAAGTACGGCGTATGAAACAGGCCTTATGAATAAAATTGCAACATCTATTGACGAAACTAATATCGGAGTGTTCTTGGATCTGTCTAAAGCATTTGATACTCTTGATCGCGAAATTAGAACATTATGGCATATGTCGGATGGCACTACAATGGATAAAAAGCTATTTCTATGATCGCCGGCAATGTGTTCAATTTAATGAGACTTCTTCTACAGAAAATAACATTGCTCAATATTAGGCCCATTATTCTTTCTTTTATATATAAATGATCTCCCTAATGCTACGGATCTGGCCAAGTGCTTGCTTTTTGCAGACAATACCAGCATTTTTCTGTCTCACACTGACCAAGAATATTTGACAACTTCATTGAATGAAGAATTAAAAAAACTAAATATCTGGATGAAAACAAATAAACTTTCGGTTAATATCAATAAAACAAATTATGTTATTTAAAGTTCAAAACAAAAGACAACTAAGATTAACCTGCCAGTTTTGTTTGATGATAAACCTCATCAGAGTGAATGTGGTTAAATTTTTAGGCATATCTATCGATGAGAATGTAACTTGGAAATATCATATTGACCATGTAAGAAAAAAAATTCTAAATCGATTGGAGTAATTGAAAGACTAAACTTTCACTATATTATTCTTTAATTTATCCCTATATTAACCCATTGAGTCGCATTGCACCCTGATGCACCCTACTGTAGTATTTTACTCTGTCTAACGCCAAACAATTTTACTCGTCAAGGGGAGAGCGCTGGTGCTTAATGGGTTAACTGGCCTATCTGCCCATGTGTCTAGTTAACCCATTGAGTCGCATTGCAACCTGATGCACCCTACTTTAGTATTTTACTCTGTCTAATGCCAGACTATTTTACTCTGTCTAACACCAGACTATTTTACTCTGTCTACCGCCAGACGATTTTACTCGTCAAGGGGAGAGCGATGGCGGTTAATGGGTTAATTATTGTAACATAATTTGATCTTCGACATATGTAACTAAGTTTAAACTGGATCTGGAAAAAAAGAGTAGTGAAAGTCAGAGGAGGTTGGCCACGGCCCGCAAAGGCTCATGGGTAGATTTCTTGTGATTTAATTTTGAAGTTCATTTGCATTTTGACCTTCATCGCGAAAGGAACAGGACACGAGAAATTATAAAATAACTTCGTTAATTGCAGCCGTATTGAAGCGCGCACTTGTGCATTATTTTGTTTCATTTGTCGCTTGTTTTTTGTCTGGAAGCCGACGTGTTCTTAAATGGGTATTAACGGCCTTCTTGGCTTTCTTCGTCCTATAACCAAGGACTCGTCTATACAAGAGTATACAGGGAAATCGCTTGGAATTGATACGTCTTGTTATCTTTACAAAGGCGCATATTCTTGTGCTACAGAACTGGCCCTTGGAATACCAACGAATAAGTAAGTACATATGTTTTACAACTCAAAATCATTAAATATTAATGAGTGTCGCCGTATGAATATTCTTGTTGCTCATTGAATGAGTCATTGTGTATTCAAAATATTCAATTTCAATGAGTGTGTGGAATTGTGTTTTGTGTGATACAATATAAAGAAGTAAGTCGTATTTGTATTTACTAGATACATCGACTACCTAGTTCAAGTTATAAGGCTTCTGCAAGCCAGTGATATTAAGCCTATTGCGGTGTTTGATGGAAACAAACTACCAGCAAAAAGCAATGTGAACCACTCTCGTGAAAGGTATAGTTTCAATAATTTATATAATAATAATATTAGTCATTGTGACCAAAACATATCTTTCTTCATATTGATATTCAGTATTGTATGTGTAATGTTATTTCTTATAGTACAAGAAAAGATACATTAAGAAAGGGTAAAGCCCTCTGGTATTCCAATGACAAAACAGCAGCTGCTGGATTCTTCCAAAAGGCCCTGAAAGTGACATGGAATATGGTTTTAACCACAATTGAGGTATTCAAATTATAAATTTTATTAATAGAATGGGCATTGGCATAAAAATGTATGTTGATTTGGTAAAAGAGGCGTTTAAGTCTGTTCTGTGCATGTGCTATTACCTATGTGAGATCCTGATATGATCAGACATATGTAAACAATGTTGAAATTTGTTTCACTGTTGTTTCGACATCTTCTAAATCAGAAACTCTATCAATATTTATTTGCAGCAAACCAAAACACATCGTATTTTTTAAATATAGCGTGAATGTAAACAAACTGACGTCAACCTGTTTGTTTACATTTGGACTTGAACTCCATGTGCTATAAATCACATCAAGCACATGCAATGTCAAATTTCCACACATACCATTATTTTTTAAAATTAAGCTTAAGTTTACTGATAGTTATTGACTACACTTATATTTTCAGACATTAAAAAGTATGGGAGTCGAATATGTTGTGGCTCCATTTGAAGCAGATGCCCAACTAACATATTTGGAATCGCAGGGTCATTTGAATGCGATTATAACAGAAGATTCCGACTTACTTGCATTTGGTTGTAAAGAGGTAATTAATACTTTTTACATTATTGTGATATTAACCCATTGAGCCCCAGTGCGTCCTACTTATTTTTTTACTTATCTAACGCCAGATGATTTTACTGATCAAGGGGGAGGCTCTGCAGCTTAATGGGTTAACCAAAAAAATCTGAAAATGTACCTATTTAACCCATTGAGCCGCAATGCGCCCTACTTTTTTTTACTTTTCTAATGCCAGACGAGTTTACTCGTCAAGGAGGAATGCAGCTTAATGGGTTAATGAAAAAATTATAAATGAAAAAAGTCTAATGAGAAAATTTTCATTACTGTCAACTAAAATTCTGGTAAATTTTTTTTTTCCACACCCAACTTCAGGATGTATTTATAAGGTTCAATTATTTTGAGGAATTTTTTGAATTTGAATTAGTTTAAAGAATTGTTAATGTTTTTAAACCAGGTCATATACAAGTTGGAACTAAATGGGACCTGCAAAGTCATTAGACGGATGGACATTTGTAAATTCATGGGTGTCAAAGATTTCAAATTTGAACACTTCCGATATATGTGCATTATTGCTGGATGTGACTACCTCAAAAATATTAGTGGTATTGGGATCAAGAGGGCTCATGCTTTTATTCAGAGATATACAAGAGCAAATTTAAAAATCGAAAAGGTACAGTCTGTATTAGATATTTTATACATAACTCATATGTTGTTTATAATATTGTTATATCAAGGTGACTGTATGAAATGTTGCTTAATTTAATTTTATTATAAGAATAGGATAAAATGTGTTAAGTTTAATGCATTTCTAAGTAAAATGCTAACATGTAGTTTAGTTTAGTTTATAATAACTTTATTGCATAGAAGTGCAAATGGGACTCAAATTATGCAATAACAGATTTTTGTTTTATAGGCATTACCAGAAATGGCAAAACTGATTGGTGTCAGGACAATCAGCATACCCAATGGTTACATTTCTGCATTTTCAGTTGCAAATAACACGTTCTTGCATCAGTATGTGTTTGATCCCAAAACTAGGATTGAATTATCATTGACACCCATTCCACAACATGACATAATTCCTAATAAGGATAAGTTTTACTTGTATCCTTTACACAAAATGAATCGAAATACTAATAAAATATATGTTGTGTGATATATGAAAGATGTATGACAATGTATAATATGTTTAGGCATTTCAGGGTCTTTTATTGCAGAATTTAGATTGTTGTGTACTTAACAATGAAATAGAAATGCAAATAATATTGTTGATCTTTGTATTGGCAACATAAATATTGAAACAGGTGATAGAGTAAACAACTACTCAGTAGAGGAGTTGCAGGTAAATATCATTATTCTCTTTATTATTCAGGGCCCAAATATAGTACATATCAGGGGTACATTATACAAGAGGGGCGTATCTAGGATTTTTTGTACAGGAGTCAAAAATTTTCATTGCCGCAAATAAAATGTGATGTGCCAAATGACTGTTTCGCCCAATGTCAGGGCTCATCAGTATGCCTAGGAATACACAAAATATCACACAGCAAATAGTGAATTTGTGATTCTGACACAGACAGCCCTTATAAAAGGCCTAAAGGAGCAGACTGGTTTTAAGGTGCCAGCACCCGCCTTCACACCTTTGCTGCGGAGCAAAAGGAGTTTGGTTGGAAACAGAGACTATATGGGACACTTTATAGATGTGAAATTGCTCAATTTTCACACCAATCCCAGTCAATTCCAACCCTTTACCCCCCCCCCCCCACCTAAACTAAGTCCTAACCTAAAACCTATTCCAATAATCCAACCAGACTTATGTTTATTCAGGTTTAACATTTGCCAAAAATTGCCAACACTGATGTTCTGTTGGTTGATGTGCCTTTTATTTTAGACCCCTGGAAGTATATGGGGCGAAATTGAAAGAACAGGAAATCAAACAATTGAAAACCAGGTTGAAGATGGTGAGTCTTAGATTGTAATGCCACATACCAGACAAGTTTGATGTCTCATTGTGAGAAATGAAACTGCATGGAATTGGGAAAAAATTTGCATTTCAGGCAGTTGTCCAGTACAACAAGCTTCCCGATAGTCTAACGAAAGAAACATCTATTATATATATAGCATATTTTTAGGCCATCTATAGACCTTATTCATAAATCGTGATCGAGGCCTCGTATCCTAGGAAACGGGGAAAAACGCGGGAAAATTGACAAAATGTTTCTTTTGCTGTCGGCTATGGCAGCTTTTTATCGTCAATATTACGGCTTTTTTCGAAAATAATATCTATAAAACTGAGTTTGAAAGTTGAAAAAAATACTTCTGAGAAAATATAACATGATATTTAAAGCAAAAGATGCTGGAGTCAATCGAAAAAGGAAACCTTTGACTTTGTATCATTGTGGTAGTTTGTATGGCCAAAACAAACAACCAACAAGGCTACAAAACGTCTATGCAATACCAAAATCGTAAGAAATATGAAACTATTGTTGAAGAAAAAAGATTACAACTCACTCAGGTAATGTAGCCTTCATTTTTTAAACTTGTAAGCTGCTTGCAGAATGTTATCGAGCCACAGCCATAGTTCATATTCCCCGTACGAATCAATAACATTTGACGTTCTCTTGTGATTTTTGACCTGTTGTTTTCTTTCATGTTAATTTCAAATTCGAAAAATTATACTTTCATTCCATAGTTGTCTTGATTTTTCACGGAATAACCTTTATATTGACGTTAAAATCTCAGTAGAATGCTGTTTTTCGCTTCTGGATAAACACTGTCGCTACGTTGTCATTTTTTCCACACAAAAACGGGAGAAAAACCGGTCGCTTTTATAATATACTTGTTTCCCGCTTTCGTTGTGGGCACAAAGTCTTAAAAATACACACAAAAATCGTTATAAATCGCAAAAAGCAACAAGAAACAAGCCGTTGAAGTCGATATATAGCATCTGAATTTGGCTTGTCAAGCAGTTTTCGCTTGTTTTCCCGCGTTTTTTCCCCGTATCCTAGGATACGAGGCCTCGTCACGATTTATGAATAAGGTCTATATATAGCATATTTTTAGGCCATCTTTATTTGCTTTTTTACGGTGTTTATTTTTTATTTAAACCAGGCCCAGGTATTTGATTTATATTTGTATTTTATAGCAGCTACATACAAGCTGACTATAATTAATTATTATTATATGATTTTAGATGATCCAAATGATGAAAACTTTACTGCCGACATATCTGTATTAAGTCAAGACAGAGCCAGTGAACAAGTTGTCACAAGAGCTTCAACTCTGAAATGCAAAGTTGTTGAAAGACTGGAGGATTTTACTTGGACTATTCCTTGCTTTCCAGTTATGCAAATTCCATTCACAGCAGTGGTTTTTGAAAAGGATGGTGAATTGTATAATGGTTTAATGAGTACCTGTGATATTAACGCTATTGATGTTATAAATGCAAACATTGTGTGCTGGTGCAGTTGTGGCATTGACATCAACAATAAATCATATGTTGTATTATGGAAATGGGAAGTGCAGGAAGAGTTACAAAGTGATTGGGAAGACTTGGAAGAAACTGAAAGTGAGATATCATATATTTCTGAAACAGATCTGTCAAGTGATGAAAGCCAAAATCATATGCCAATAAGTCAGGATAAAGAGGGAATGCCAGATGTGACACATACTCTTCCTTTTAAAGTTCTTGGCGTTGCCCATTGTAAAAGTTATCAGGATCATCTAGAAAAGGCTTGCGAGAAACTAGGTGAAGACAAGAATTCAGTCACAGCTTGTATTGTACCTGAACGTGATAATGAACAAGATGCTGAAGCTATTTGCGTGATGATAGACTATGGTGAAGGCAAACAACGTGTTGGCTACATTGCAAGAGAGTTCACCAAGTTCATACATCCTCTCTTATGCAGTGACAGTATAATCAATGTCAGTATTGGGAAAATTAAATTTCAGACACTGTGGCTAAGAATAGGATTTTATATGAGTGTTCTTATCACAAGGAAAGGTGAATGGGAACGATCTGTGGTTAATGCAGCAAGAGAAGTCAAGCTGTATTGAGACTGTATTCTGAATTAACCTTTGTTTGTAACTAATAAAATTTTAAAATCTTTTGCAAGGCCTGAATTTGGGCACTCAAACTGTCCGAAAAGTTGCAAAATTAAAAATTGTAAACCTTTGAGTATCCTGGATAATTGTAATTTTGCAACATGTACAGTAACAGAACATTTGCATTGTTAGCCTGCGAACAGGCTCTCAAGCTGAATTGAGAGCCTGCATCGATGACTAATGAATTTGAATATCTGCGTCTCAAATCGTGACGCGAAATTCTCATTGGTCAGATGCTATAATTTATATTATTCCGCTGAGCTCTATATAAGTCAACTGCTTACTATGCATAAAAAACACATTAACTGATCAAATTGGTCTTGGCCATCTTATCTCAAAGCACGAAATGTTCTGTTTTGAGAAAACAGTATTTAAAACATTTAAACTTTTGCTTCAATATCTTATATTTCGAAAAACAGTATAAACTGTACGGTCTAAATTTAGTTTGCATGGTCTAAATTTAGTTTGCACGAAAGTTGTAAACAACACCATATAAGGATAGACATTCCATATTTGGAAAAGCGAACGTTACGGGGCAGATATTCAAATTCATTAGTCATCGATGCAGGCTCTCAATTCAGCTTGAGAGCCTGTTCGCAGGCTATTGCATTGTTAACCAGCAATAACACAATCACTGTGCACACTAAAGTAGTGCACATTGCTAGCTATTAAATGCGCTAAATCAAAAACTTATTTTAAACTTATTGGGTCGTTTATGTTAGTTTAACTTGTTTACCACTTTGACGTGGATGGAAAGTTAGGGAAGTTTAATAGTAGTAATTAATGCCTAGGGCTGGTTGTATAAAACTCTTAATCACATTTTTAATCACTATTTTGTAGTTAAATAGTGATTAACTCTCAAATAGGCGCTTCTTATTGGATGACGTTTCCACTTAACCATAGTTAACTTTAATCACTTTTTTATACAACCGGCCCCTGATGGATGAAAGTGAGGGATGAAAACTAGAGTAAATCCCATTGTTCTTGTCCTGTAGTAACAGGCTTAACTCATAAAGATGCATCAATGCTATAAACCGCTTCTGCCATCCGTCTCAGTAATATTGATATCCAGTAATCGTGGAGGTAGTACTTCCGGGGCAACGTGAAATTGTGCTCGCACAGACAATTTACCTTTCTGTGGAATTGAGGCTCTGTTTGCTGCAAAAACCCCTGGGTCTGCTCTGCGGGAAAGCCGGATTTGGTCGAGGTGTTCAACTTCTTCTTTATGTTCATTGAAAGATTCCAATGGGCCCGTATTGTACCTTTCATTCACCCCAGTCCAGTAAAAGAATCCCAGTTCTGGATTGATTCTCTTCACAAATTCCTGTTCGATTTTGCGGTAATTCTCCACGAATGACTTGTGGTCAAAGGTTGGACCAAGCAGGTGATGTAAAATAGAAAAAAACCCTTCGAGGACATCTGTTGACGAGGCTCTTGGATGCTCGGGGGGGAGCGAGCGTGTCTTATACTCCAACCTTCTTATTTCTTGACTCTCTATATTTGCTGTTAATGCCACAATTATCTCTCTTGTTAATCCTTTGATTCCTTTGATTGGCCTAAATTTTAGAATCATATTATACAAGTAATTATCAACATAAAATACAATCTTGTCAAACAGGGCCAAATACAATATGCAGGAAGGTAGGGTTTTAAAATAACTGCTTAAAATAAAGCTAAAGGCATAATATGTGTCTTTATATAGTATAACGTAAGATGACATAGAACTCCTGGTCATATTTTACAGTATAGACACTACAGTATCATACCTATTGACATCCATCACTGAGTAATCTTTGCCATCCTTGTGCCATGGCATCCAGTCTTCAAGAATATAATTTAGCATATCTTTGTTGTAATTACATCTTGTCTCTTCACTCAAGCCGCGCCCATCACTAGCTTTGTGCCAATTCCGTACCAATTTCACGAACTTTGCTTCATTTTTGTAACCATTCTCCTGCATAAATTCCAAAACACCACGTGAGAACATTCTTTCACAATCAGGCACCGACTGTTTATGCTGGCCAGTCAATGCACTATATGTTAGACCAGTGTTGGGTGCATTTAAGCATGCGACAAATGCTCTGAGATCAACATCCGGAATAGATCCAGCTCGGGTGCATGCTGTGATCCTTTTGAGGACATGATTATGGTCCTCTCTTTCATGGAACTGCTCTCCCGTTATCTCATCAACTTCTGGAACATACAAGTGTTCCTTAAAATTTACACCATTTTTGGTGTATTCCAGAACTTCATAACGATAGAAATAGAATGCCATCAACGATTTCAAACAGTCACTTGTAGTTTCGTCTTTCCCTTAATATATTAATACATCAAGTAAGACAAATGGCAAACATGCATTACAAGATCATTTGATACAGTAGTGGGGGGGGGGGGCAGAGAAGGAGGGAGGACGTGCACACACTAAATAAACATACATGTATGCTGTGGAGAGTGAACATTAAAAAATACCTGTGGTCCAAGGGTGAGGATCATATGAGAATGGAAACTGTTTTCTTCTCAGTAGTAGAAGAGCTTGGTGGAAAGTCGTTTTAACTTCTGAGTTATTCATGAGATCATATAAGAAAATAATGTCCTCCAATGGTACAGCAACATGGAATTTAAGTGCTCTAATATCACCATCATTCCCTGTAATATCAAGTTAATAGGTTGGAATTATTTATAGAAAAGTCACAACTTGTAAAGGGACATACTGTACATACACTGATCAGTATTGGGTACTTTCTAAAAGCGAGTAATTAAGGGTCACAAGTAAGTAATTAAGGGTCACATTAAAAGACATATTGAAATATGGTAAAAATGTGAGTGGCAATCCACATGCACAAAGCATACATATGTTACGATAAACCAGGGAGTTGCATGGTTAACGAGCAATGTCTGCTTTATAAAATGTGAGAGAATGAAGTGATCATGATTATTCTTCGGGAACAATATGTAAAAGTGTACACTGCACACTCGTAAAAATATTATAGATGTCCTGTTAACTAATTGAATTTGAAACTATTGAAGTTAGATATAAATATCTAACCTTTTACAGGCTTCAAATATTTCTCTATTTCATTTATTCTTGTTGACCGTGCCTTGACTTTTGCATTCATAATTAGCTGAATTACAGATATCGGTCTCTTGCTTCCCATCGTCCTCAGGGAGTTAAACTCACCATCACTTGAAAATCCTACGAAAATAGAATTACTGTAACATAAGAAGTGTTATTTTTTGGCCGGCTGATGAGCGAAAGAGGCAGAAAATGTTTTCTCACACACGAAGTGGGCGGTGCAGGTTATAGGAGCATGTTTTTGTTGTTCCTCTCTTGGAGCAGACAGAACTATAAATATATAATTGTGTCGATGTAATCTAGAGTGAAAAAGATTGTTGTAAAATTTGATGTGTTAAGTAAATGTCAAGCTTGCAGCAATGCTGTAGCAGGTCCCAGCAGTGTGTGAGAAATAATATTAATGTATTTAAGTAAATGTTTTCAAGTGATTTGAATTTTTTTGAGAATAAATTCTTTTTTATGGCTGTCTTCAATTAACACATGGGCAATGGGATATGAGATTAATACATCCAATCATTTTCTAGACTGTACATACACTGGCCAATTATTAACATTTAAATTCCAGGATGAAGTAACTTACCAACAGACACCATTTCAATGTTATTCATGGCTGTTCTGATTTCATCTCTAAGTTTTCGTAAACCATTATCTGTTATGCTTTTATAGGGAAGCGCTCTGACAGGAATAGCGTATGGTTTTCTGCAACGTAGCTCATCACCGACCATAAAAACCATCAAATGAGATGCAGCCTCTCTCTTCTTTGATGTCAGTCCTTTGACATAATTGAGAAGGTCTTTCCTTAATTCAGAGAGTCTCTTCGGTCTGTTGACTTCTGTAACAGAATTCACATACATGCTTAATAATGTATTGGCATCATTAGCAAGTTTCTCGTTCATTTCGAGTAGCTTCTCAAAACCATCTACAGCCCATGCCAATGCAAACATTGTTTGTTCTGCAACAGTATTTTGTTTCCGTTTTGCATCATAATCCTTTTTCGACGTCTTCATGCCTTCTAAAAGGAATGATCGATCTTCACGTAGTTGTCTTAACAGTTCTTTAAGATCATTCATGATTGTTTCACATTCCATTCGAGTTTTCAGTGCAAGACCATTTATCCACTTAATGCGTTTATCATATTGTTCCTGTTCTCGTTGTAGATTTCCATCACCCAAGTCACAGTCACCTGTCCATTTACCCTTTACTGACTCGTGTAGTCCTTCTTTCATGTCTGTTGCATCAGCCTTTATAAACCAACGACCAGTTGGGTTCGATTCCTTGGCTTTTTTTAATGCTTTCACCTGTAATAATGTATAGGAAAAAATAAATTAAACTATAAATAAAAGTGGAAATTTTGGTACCTTTGCACAATATTATATTCTGTCAGAGTTTGTTTAATTGTTTGTTAGTTTGTTTACTGAAATCTTAACAGAGCACTGCATGTTAGCACTGTGTCTGGTTATTTTAGCTTTCTTTCTTTCACCCATAAATGCCCAACAGTTTCCAGAACGATCATCTTATAATGTGTTAGACAGAGTAAAGTCATCACTATCGATTTCGATTTGCTATGGAAATCATCAAGCTTAGTAAGTTGTAATTGGCTAATTAAATATTCCAACCAATCAAATTACTTTCTATTGAATCATCGTAAATCACCATAAATTATGCAAAGAATAGACTTGACTCATGTCATGTATTTGCTCTAAAATTCTAGTCATAAATGGCCATATATAATTACCTGGATTTCTGTACCACAGAAAAACCCACTGTTAGCTATATCCCGTCGAATTGTCCGATCGCTAGGTCCTGCAACATTGACTTTTGCCTGTTAGAAAAGTTACAACAAAACATTAGTCTAAAACCTGGAGTACTACAAGCAAACAATTACTCAGTTTTTTAGTTTATTAAGTTGAGTACCTAAATATATTTTTTCAAACAAATGCCTAATTTGAAAACTCCACTTTCCAGCTACGGCCCCAAGCTGTTTTACAGATCTGAACTCCAGTTCTGGCCTGTTTGGGGCCATTCACAAAGGATGTCCAACCAGAGGGTGGGGAGGAGGGTTTGGAAAATCAGGACAAACTCCGACATAGGGGGGAGGGTTTTTTTTAGCAATCCGGATGTCTGAAATTTAAAAACATTCAAAAACAAATTTCTTTTTCCTCTATGTTGAACTCTCCTTCCCATTGTAAAATTGGCATTTTGGACACTTCATAATATTATGTAATTCTTTCCTTCAATGATGAATTCAACAGTGGCGTCAAATAAAAGCTTTCTGCATGTATAACTCTCCTTTTCTATACAATAAATTCATCCCGATGTTGCAGTAACACAGTTGTTGGTTTTAATTAATAATTTATATGTTTTTGTATTCACATTTATAGTTATAAAAAAGTTCTAAAAGTAAAAAAGTTTGTTACTCTTAACATATACAAGGTTGTGTGAGTTTTGCGAGGCATGGCGGATGTCCAGGGGGAGTCACTAATTCGGACAATGGCAGACAAGGGGGAAGGGGGGGGGCTGAAAATTCATCATTTGGCCGGACATCCTTTGTGGATGGCCCCTTTGTTAACAACTTGAAACATAGTTTTCAGTAGCTGGGTATCATTTGGTTCAACTTTGTTCGATGGTTATGTGGTCATTATTTGTGACCAATACTTAGTCGAAACATGTCTATTTGAACAAAATTGCCATATTTTTTGTAACTTTGACAAGTCAGCGACCTCCGGCTCCGGCCGAGCCTACTTTTTCTATACAGCTTTCAATGATACAAAGTACACATAGATGGTGGTTTTATCTGAAGGTTATATTTTACCACTTGTTGACATAACATGCACTACTGTAGTGGTAAAATTTAGCCTAAGAGATAAACATACACAAACACTTTAAAGCAATAAGTCACAACAACCATTTAGAACTCACATCCATGGTCTTCCTGTCCTTCTTCTGATTTTTCTTTGGCCTTGACTGGATGTTGTGCATTGTCTCAATCTCTTTTGGGGATGCTTCAGCACCTGCTAGCTCTTCTTTTTCACTTTCGCTGAAAGAACTCCAAAGAGTTGATGGGCGAATGGAACTTCCTGGTGAAAGTACACTAGAATCTTCCAGGACCTGTTGATGATTCTGGTTTGTTTCAGAATCAATTGGCAATACATCAGGTATACTAAGTCCTCCAAGGGCACATATGACAAGGCTTCTTCAATAATATTATTCTTGGGTGCTTCTTGATTCTTTCCTTTGCTCTTTTCTACATTCTCTTTATTCTCCACTTCTATATTCTCTTTCTCATCCACTTGATCAACATAAGACCACATAGGTCCAAGATGAAGACGAGCCCAAGAATTTCCAAAATTAGCATACATTGTCTCCATCCAAGTCTTGTAATCCTTGGAGGCTCTCAGATTATTGCCATCATCAGATGCAAAAAATTTGCAGTTGAAATCAAGTAACCCAAATGGCATTTGGTTTACATTCAGACGTGCTGAGGATCCATCTTCGCACATAATTCCAAGTGATTTGCACAAGTTAAAAACAATATCATCCTTATTGTTCCATTTCAAGTGATCCATAGCTAGCAGAGACAGTTCAATAAAATTGGAAGGAATGAAATGCTTCAGATCTTCACTAAAATCATTTTCGGCAATAAAGGAATAAATAAATGTTGCAAGTTGTATACGTTGAATTGATGACATTTTGCCAAGATTTTGCACAATCAAAGTCATAAGGTCTCCGCGAAGTTCTTCATGTTCAAACTCAGCAGAATCATTTCTGGCCTTTTCCATCTCATTAACATAATCAATGTCATATGCCTCTTCAGCATCATTGACGGTCTTGAATTTCTTTTTAAGGTGGTCAATTACTTTCAATCTACATGCACCTCCTAAATTAAAGAAAGAATAAAAATAAACCTTGTAAGAAAGCAATGTAATTTGTTAGAAAGGTCATGTAATTCATACTGTCATCTAGTCCACATGGTCCTGGGCAGAATCCTTACAATCTATTTGGACGATATGCTGGATACACTGTTGAGATCTCAAAGACTTGTAGGTTTATATTAATCAAAGAAACTTCTATGCACTGATTGGTACCACCCCCCTGAGAAAACATTCCTGGATTGACTAGTGCATTATATGACACAGTATCTTATAAATTATATATCTTGTCAAAAAATAAAACCAACCTGTTCTTAATTGCATTCCACTAGATTCTGCAATATCCTTTGCACAATCATCCCAGAAAGCAACACGTTTGTGTGTGGGCCAACAATCAGAAGATTCGTACAGTGCAACATATCTCACCAAACCCTTCAGCTCATCCTTATTCCAGTCTTGTTTTTTTCCTTTCTACAAGAATAAAATACATTAACCTGTTAACGGGCAAATTATCTACCCAAATGCGACCTACTTTAGCATTTACTCTGTTTAATGCCAGACGATTTTACTCCTCAGTGGTAGAGTACTGGTGGTTAATGGGTTAACCAATTTACTGGTAGTATTTTACCACTGACAAATGACCAGCAAAATAGTCTGGCATTAGACAGATTATACACTATTTAAATTCATATAAATTTATATTATAAAAAATTTCAGTTCACACATGTAATATTTGTAACTTCATGTAGTGATGAAAACCTTAAGAAGTGTATGTCAATACTCAATACATTTATACTTTAATGTAAATGATTTACAACCAAAATGCAACAGGCAATACTCAGTATTTTGTGCAAACAAAGATTTCTTTGAGGAAATATGTCGCCCTTCTATCTGTTCAATATTTCTCTGGTTCTTTTCCTTTGGCTTTCCAGGAGTGTCTCCTGTAGGAGGACAATGACCTCTCTTGTTTGACATTATCAGTTCAGTTTTTGGCCTGTATTCAGTAAAATGAATTACACCACTTAAATTGTAATCATTAATTTATTCGGCACTTTTACAGTTTATTTAACTAGAAGAGAGAGTATACCCTAAGCACAAAGAAGCAATGATGTACATTCATGTATTTTTTACAACTCGTCAAAACTTGGGATTCTGTTCGAAAAAATCCTTACGAAAGCGAAAGGAATTTCTGTAAATTGCATTTAAAGGAAGACATACCGAAGACCCGTGTGAATAGCGCCATTTTGTACATCGTACTTTCAAGTATCCCCTAGTTCATATAATACCGATATTCTAAAGTATTTTTACAGAAATATATAAAAATAACTTACCTCACATTCTTGTAAATATTTGAGTGAATACTTTGAAAGATTGAGTGAGTAAATCGGTATATTTGGTAGATTCCTGCTTCTTTCTTTGCTCTTTGTGTGTTTATCGCTCGACAGGCTAGCGCTTTGCTGATTGGCGCATTAGTTATGCCATGAGCCTTTGCGGGCCGTGGCCAACCTCCTCTGGCAGTGTAGCAAATAGACAGTCATACACACCAATATGCATTTACCTGTGGGGAGATGAAACACGATAAACAATTTGCAAGGTATGTCGTCAAAAGTCATTTTCGGCTTTTATAAATCTAATCATTATTCCAATGGGTTGATGCTTCAAGCTGCCCTATTGTAATTCTATTTTCCCTGAAAAGGATGTTGTATTTTTTGGAAGGCTTAATATTGCTGTATCTCCAACATACGCCGAAAATTTTCTTTGCAGAAGGTCACAATTGTCCTTTCATATTAACTGTGCACACTAATTTGCATATGTATAAATATGAAGAGAAGTTTGTTTTAACTTTAGAAATGATAGTAAATAAATTATTACAAGCTTGGAATTAAAATGCACATGCAGTTTTTTAAAATGTGCATGCAATTTCTGACCAGGTGGGTATATAAATTTGTCAGCATTGTCATGACATTGACATGGTTTTCCCTGGCATTACGACCATGTGTGATGTGATGTGTGCAAAGCCTTCAGCTTCCTGACTAAATCAATTTTGCTGAACGTTAAAATGACAAATTCTATGACTATATATTATTATCCACGGGACACTGGTATTAGTCAAAAACCATTTGCTTTGTATACCACCGCCATGAAATGGAATATACAACATGTGTAAACTTTTGCTCGGTCTTCTGTAAATTGCAACCGCAAAGTTGCAAGTTCCTAATTGCGTCTTAATTGTTATTTGGTTTAAAAGTTGTTTGTGGATTGTATATGATGTATTTTTTATTCACCATCAATGTGTGAACAAAATTTTATACATCCACACAAGTAAATGTTCTGTGAGAATTTTCCTATGACAAATATATATTTGCGCGTGTGGGCAAGACAAGAAATAGTTGTTGTCTTTACGCCTGGAAAGGTTGCCTTCTGCGAAATACATGCATGCATGTGACGAGTCATATACACACGAGCAAACAGTAAACACTTGCATATGATAATTTTCCTTTGGCTTTGCCACATAAAAGCTGGCGCGCCAGTTTTTTATCAAATGTATTTGCCATATTAACTGTATAGGTACTGCATCAGCAAATTCTCCCCATATAGCAAATTGAAAATTGTCACAGAAAATTTGCTTGTGTGGCTTTAAATATAGCCAACCATTTGTTTTTATGTTGTGATGTTGATTGATATTTGATAGATATCAAGGTGCTAAGATTATATTCATTAAAATTCAGAAAATATACATGAATCTATAGGTATGATTTACTATAAGAGAATTGAATTTCAGGTATATACAAACAAGTTTATACATTCCTGTACGGCTGGACTTGTGTAAGCTTTCATTTTTAAAAAGACAAAGGCTAGAGTATAGGCGCGGGAATTATAAAACCTTACTGACATTGCATATCTTGCTTTTTTCATTGGCATCTTAAATTACCTAAATCCTGTTATGCATGAAGCGATATTTCCTATGTCGGCATCGCTTATCAAGTCGACAATGTAATAGCCATGCTGATATATAGCCATTTGGTTTATATTATTGTGTTCACATTACATATATTTAACTTTTGAAGGGGATCCAAATCCGCCAACTCGGGTCCGTATTTACTAGTAGATTTGGACCCCCGGGGGTCCATATCGGCTAGTGGATTTGGACCCGGGGGTCCAAATTTACGGGGGTCCAAATTTACGGGGGTCCAAATCAACTGGGACACTGGTCTTTTAACTCATTAAGCGGAAAGCTGTTACAATGTTTCTACCCGCCTAAGGCGCAAGCAATATGGCGAATTTGTGATTGAATTCAAGAGCTTTCACCAAAATGGCAATATCTCAGAAACAGTTGCATAAAAAAATCTGATCTTTTCAACCAAACATTAGTGATATATGATTGACTAAATTTAGTTTAAATGACATTGCATACCTACATATATCATTAGTTTTTTCAATGAGAATTTTTATTTGTAAAGCAGTGACACTTTGTTTTTCATGTCACTCATCACCTAAAGGGGCAATATCTCCATAAATTTATATAAAAACCAAAAAAAAAATCATTTACTAAATTAGTACATATCTATATTATAACCAATTTTCATCTCTTGGGATATGAATTAGAGTATAGGCGTATATCGTATTTCGTATCCGTTGCTAGGCAACCCGATAAACACGTGCTCAAATATCATGCCCGCAAGTTAAGGAGTCATGTTAGGGCGCATTCGGGCGCATTGCCGCTTACCCCCTTGCCAATCTCAGGGCGCATTTGGGCGCATTGCCGCTCAATGAGTTAAACAGCCCCAAGTCAAATTGCATTGCATGATTTACTTGAAAATATTTTGTATTAAAATTAAAACAGCCGTTTTCACCCCTGATCTGCACTAAGAATAGACACAGTGCTTATCATGAAAGTTTGTCTACAAAAAGTGGTTGTGTAAACGAGTAAATAGCGAAGTGGGAGTTTTGGCACGGTGCCCATTTTCAGGGGTGCCATGCCTATAAAAGGCCTATTGAATATTCCACTTTGTCGTGTAAAAAGGCCTATTGAATATTCCACATTGAACCACTCTCACAACGGTTTCTGCAGAATAAATAGAGAATAATACATGGGTGCTTGGAAATACCAGATTTATTTCGAGTGTTGAACATTGCAGGATTTTTTGTTCAGGATATTTTTTTGCAGGATTTTTTTCTTCGAATATGTGACATAGTATCATAAATCCAGTTATATAGTTTTTCTAGGTTGACCTTCTATGCAGGGACGTAGCAAAGCATCTGAAGTTATGGGGGGGGGGGGGTTTCGGAGAATTTTACCTGAAATTTGAACTTCAATGTTAAAAATTTACCTGAAGTGTAATAATTATAATAAAGCCTTTTGTGATTGATTTGCACTGTCATACTAATTGTTTCAGGGGAAAAGGTGGAGCTGGGGGTCCTCCCCCAGAAAATTTTTACATTCCCGAAGCTCTAGGATTGCATTTCTCAATGGCGTTTTCTAAAGCAAATTCGAACCAAATTGGGGGTAAATTGACTGCATTTTACAAAAAAATCATTACTTTATTTAGACGCAAATGAAACTGAAAATGTCAAAATTTTAAATTAACTTGAATTTTACCTGATTTTTGCCTGAGTTTCAGCTTCCTGAGTTTGAACATTGAAAATTTATTTAAACACGTTAAAATCTTCAATATAGGTATACTATTTGGCAAAAAAAACAAACATGCGTCTACTATATAGAGTAATTTTAATACTGAATAATATATATAAAAAACGCACTGATTTCCAAAATTGCCGCGTGGGAATCCCATTATGGTGGCGACAAAAAACGATTGATTTCATTTTTGAAATGCCTTAATGAATTAGCTGTTCCTACAGAATGGAGGAGCGTATTCCATAACCGTGCTCCACTGTAGAAAAAACTACGCTTTGAAATAGTCCGTACGTGGTTTCAGTAAATTAAGCTTCATTTTTTAAGTTATAGTCTGCTGCGTAATGAAAACAAATTTTGCAAATACTCTAGATTATCGATTGTTTTGTACGTAGGAAAAAGCACAGGTCTATATTGATGTAATGATAGATTGTCCCAATGCTTCTCTAAGAGAATGCTTGAACTGACATCGTAACTGGACTTCGTAATCACTCTGGCAGCCCTATTTTGTAATTTTTGCATTTTTTGACATAATGTAACATTAAATTCATCCCAGACTGGGCAGCATGAGCTCCACCTTTGAATTTACTACATGAGTAAATTGCTAAACAATTCCCGGAATTTATTATGATAAATTTGCAGCACGTAACACTAACAACTAACCCTTAACCCTAATCTAACTTTTTTAAACTTTTGAAAATCTTAACTTTTAAATTTTTTTTCTTTTTTAACCCTTTTAGACTTTTTTAAACTTTTTTTTGAAAGCGGCCTCCCTTTTAGAGCGGCCTCCCTTTTAGTGCCATTACATTTATAACAAAAAGTCATGTCTAATGCTTGTGGTTTTATGATTTACTCTATTGATAAATTCAAAATGAGCCGCGAATTTATCATATTGATAAATTTGGATGTGTTTAACAATTTACTTGTATAGTAAATTCAAAGGTGGAGCTCATGTCGGACTGGGCTACAGTAATCAAAGTGAGGTTGGATTATTGCATTATACATCTCGATTGCAGTTTGGATTGATATGACAGGTCGTATTCGTTTAAGAGTACGTATAGCGGAAGACATTTTTTTACATTTCATATCAATATGTTTGGACCAAGAAAGGTTTTTGTCAATAAGTAGACCTAGTGATTTAGCTTTGTCGACTTGTTTAATTACATTGCCATCTAAGTCAATATTGATATTTTCGTTGGAATGAGCATGCACATGTTGACGCGATCCAATTATCATGAAACTCTGTCTTGGCAATATTGAGACTTAGGTTGTTCGCTATATGTTACAATGTGCTCACGAAATCAATGCCTAATACCAATCTTAATAACCACAATCCAATATATTTGTGGGCATAACATGAGCGGTTTAAATATCCCTTTCCTACAATCGCGTGCAGAAATACTGAGACTTCACGTTTTTGGCCCTTTTAAAGTACACCACTGTACATCGGCCTCCTTTACCTTGATTAAACAGGTATCCTTATTGTATCCCTTGAACTTGAAGCCTTGTTTCATTTCAGATTTGATATAAAATCCTACAATCTTCGTAAAAACATATAGAATTTTTTCCCCTGTAGTTTTCTTGTGCAAGATATTTTTCCTTGTTTAAAGTTCTAATCGAATTTTTTTGGTATTTGCCTCCTCCCCCCCCCTCCCACTCAAAAATCTAATGGACCATCCCTAATATGTTCATTGAGACTTATGTTTATCGACTTGCAATTTAAAAATGGTAATAATAATAATTTAGTAATACTTCTTCTGTAATGTAAATATGATCAAATGCACAATTTTCATGATAGATCAAATTGTAAAAGAATATCATATCCCGCGTTTATTTATCCTACCCTGCAGAACAATTGTCTTGGATGTCAACACTTTTGACTCGAAGCAAAGATTTATCGAATCGCTGAGAATAGCATATGGTTCTGGGACGTTTTTCCTTGGGGTTAAAGTATCGTCATCCGTAGTGCAGTCCTATTACACGTACCTGAAAGAGGATTATGAACAAAACGAGATAGGACGCGATTACATGGAGCCCGAATACATGGGTTACCAGGGTGACAATTACTGGATTATCTCCAATCATGTAAGATATTATATACATATTTTACAGTGAGACAGCGCATACTAGCAGTAACGTGTAAAATTTGTATATCATGAGTAGCCATAGGATAGCATATATGTGAATCGTTAATGATGGACAAACAATGAAAATGTAGAACGAAAAATATATTGAAAAATTTGGGTGATTGCATGTGCAGCAAGATAACAGAGTAAAAGCTTTATACATATAGTGAAGTCAGTGGCATGCAACAGCATCCTTGAGGGATATCATATCAACCTGAACTAATCATATTGTTTTTTTAGGTACATGTAAGGAATAGGAACATCGTTGGTGAAAGCGATTTAACATACATTATAACAGATGATAAATTATTGTCCTACCAATTAGAGATTGAAGAGAAGCTTCTCAATGTGGAATATTTAAAAAAATCACTGAAGAGGTGTTGTATATACATGTACTATCCAGCTTTACAGACCTGTCTGGTACAGGCTATATACTATAGTAATCACTTTTGATCATGGTATGTAAATAAGATCTATTTCTTTCAGTTAACAAACATAATAACACGTATTTGCTCTATAAATGTTCATAAACCTCCATGAATGATGGAGAAGTACAGCAATGTACTTTATGTTATTCCAATGAAGTGTCTTGCTATAATAATGTTAATAAACTATTCTCTATCTCCCCCCCAAGTCTTTAATGATTGAGAGGGAGCAATGTCATTAAATACTTTAACTAAAACAACATGAACCGTGCATTTATATGATAACAAGCTTAGTTCACTCTTCCTGGAGTCCTTTTTTGTTGTAATCCTGTAAACGTCGTAGAGCTAGAGGTGGCTTCTTGGGTGTGCTAGGGTTTTCAGGTGCCTGACTGGCGGGGATAGGGGTTTGCTCCAGTGTGATGTGGTTTGGTGTAGATGGCATTGATGTGGACTGGGGTGTGGGAGGTGTAGGGCTGGGGATGTTTGGTGGCTCTGTTGGTGGGGGGGTGCAATGTTGGTTGAGGAGCTTTGGTCTGTGGGGTTGGTAGATACCGTAAATCCTCAGTGATAGTATGTCGGGGTTGTCGCTGTTGAACTGGAATGAATTTGCGTAGGAATTTACGATTGTGGAGTGTCACACGGCCTGACCCGTCCACACGGATTGCATACTGATCAAATTGACGGACTTCAATCACTAAGCCTGTTTTATCCCATTTTTTTGGGTGGGGGCCAATTTGGTTCTGTATTCGGACTTGATCCCCAACTTTCAGTGGTGGGAGTCGGCGTGTGTACTCGGACAGCCATTCAGTGGTTCGCATATGACGGTTGCGAAGTGCTTGTTCGCGGGTCATAAGGGTATCTTTCCAGGCAGGGTGGGGTTGGTAACGCCCAGGGGCAATAGGGATGAAATCTTTGATCGGTCTTCCGAAGATGCATTCTGCTGGTGACAGTTTTGTGGTGGGATCGGGTGTATTTCGGTACTGGAGGATAGCAATTTGTAAGGTGTCGGTGTCAAGGGTACCGTTAGGGCCAGTGTTGTTGGTTATTAAGCGCTTAACTGTTTTGACACCAACCTCGGTGCGGCAGTTTGAGTGAGGGTAGGCGACGGATGACAGGCGATGATGGACTCCCCAGGATGTGAGGAAATCTTGTGTTGATGTGGCAGTAAATTCAGGTCCACCGTCGGTTGCTAGCTCATCTGGAATTCCAAATGTGACAAAGATATGTCGTAAGCAGTGGATTAATCCAGTTGCACCGTCTTTGCAACGCTCTATTATGGGCCAGTTGGAGTACCGATCTATGACCACGAGGTAATTGACTCCTTGGTAATGGAAGTAATCAGCGCATAAGAGTTGAAATGGGTAGCTTGGTGGAGTGATGGGTGTGGGAGGGGGGTTTGGATGAGATGGGGCCATTCGGTTGCAGTGTTGACAGGATTCTCTTATGGCTCGAATTGCCGGTGTTATGCCAGGCCAGAATACGGTTGCCTCGGCGCGAGAGGTCATTGAGGTGATGCCTTGGTGAGCCGAATGGAGGATGGATAGGATGTGACTTCTTAGGGATGAGGGTATGACAATGCGAGCTTTGTATAGGATAACCCCATCGATGGCAAAGAGGTGTTCACGAAATTGGAAAAATTCCTGTAAATCAGGGGGGAGTTCGTGGCGAAACTCGAGGAAGCCTGCTGTAATGGTTGAAAGGAGCTTCTCCATTGTTGTGTCGCTCGCTGTTGCTGTTTTGACGCGGTCCCATGTTACGGCCATGGAGTGGGTTGATTTGATGGCAGATGATAGCAGTTGCTTTTCAATGGTGGCAGTGATTGAGTATGTGTCGGGTTCAAGGGTGCGGATGCCAGCTAGGACGGCGTTGCTCAACATGGGTGGGGGGAATTGGCCTTGATGTCGGCCATGTCATCAGGGATGGGCATGGCTTCGGGGTTGGTGGTGCCAGATGGATGGCGTGAGAGTGCGTTTGATGTTTGTGTTTGATGCCTGGGATATGGACCATGCGGAAGCGGTGTCGAAGCGTCTTTTCTTTGAGATTGCGAAGGCGGATGTTGGAAATGTCTTCAAGACATCGATCACCAAAGACTTTAAGGAGGGGTTTGTGGTCAACAGCTATGATAAGGTTGTCACAGCCCAGTACAAAGAAGCAAGCTTTGTCGAGTGCGTCTACCACTGCAAGGGCCTCGCCTTCGATGGGAGCATATCTGGATTCGGCGGTGTGGGTAAAACGGCTTCCGACCAGGGTAATTTTCCAGCCAGTTTTACAGCAGAAAGGCCTCTCAGCAGGGCAGTCGCAGTGATTCTGAAATAGCCAAAAGCCTATCCCATCTATCCTATCACACAAAAAACTGAGACAGGTTGGACTTTAGATCATAAGCTTTCTCAGACCCATGCATTTCTACATACATACCATGCAAACCATATGCATGGTCAATGACATCACAATAGAAGTTTTAAATATGTTACCTTCTACCATACCATATTACACAATATATCAAAACCTTGTTTTTATGTTGTATCACATAATTTTTGGTAACATCTATTGTTGGAAATATGCTAACGATCTTTTTAAATACAATAGCATATTGTTTTATCCATTCTTTTATTTGCAGTTATCTTCTCATAATTTTTTTGTGTGGAAAGGTGCCTGGAAGGGAAGTACATATATATACACATCTTGCATTATCATGGCAGAGGTAAATACATTAAAGTCATACAAGTACACATTTACGTCAAAATTTAAAAATAAAAATGTCCACATAAAGATATCATTAAAAGTAAGGTGCACATATGGTATACTACCAAAAGCCAACTATACAGTTTATATTTTTCTTATGTTTACGTTTTCTCAAGATCCAATTCGCAAAGCAGAATAGCGTCTTATCAAGTCAGATTGACTTGGCAAACCTCACCAGGCTACAGCCATTCTGTATACAGTATATACATGTTCTGCGGCCAAAGGGAGCTCAAATCCAACAGGCCAAAAACACAAATCCCATTGATTGTCGTGGAAGAGAAGTTGGATGTGAGATACCCCCACAATCATGCCTTCAATTGTGGAAAAAAGAAATCACAGAATTAAAAAAAAATTACCCAGATAGCACAACCTACATACAGTGTCATATGAGCACTGAAACGAAGTATGATGTCCAGAAGATGAAAAGGATCTATGAAACTATATTGCTATACTAAAGCAGTTAATATAGTGGGAAAAATGTGGTAAATAATGGGCATCCCATATGGGTTTTAAACAAAGAGATTGCCATCAATCAATATAGGAACTTGGTCAATAACATAAAACAACATGGTTTGGCTAAGTCACATGACTGAAGGAAATGGTGTTGATATATTGCCAGGGCAGAAATACCAAACTGATGTTGTACTTCCACTGACCAACCAAGGACTCAATACAATGTGTCATTTTCTGAAAGGGACTCCACATGAAGTTTGCAGAGAGAGTGAGCTGACCCTTTTCTGGAACATGTTGGCTTCAAAATTAGTAGTGAAATGGAAACTGTCACAATTGCACCAAACAGCAGCAACCAAAATTTTCTGTCAACATTCTATTTAATGTCAATGGCTCACATCATGGCCAATTATCAAGAGGTATGTAAGAGAACAGTAAGACAAACACTAGCCTGAAATTGAATCACATATCAGATCAGTGTCAAAATACATCCACAAATAGAGATCAGTGTCAAATATATCCAAATATACGATCTAGTCTGGTCGAACAATTACCTTTATAGACTTTATATTTTTTAAATATGTCAACTATATCACAACCAAATATAACCACGAGGCAGTCAGAAGCTGTAAGTTGCAGACACAACCATGAAACCGAACAATCCAAATCAAAATATATTTAACATGGTTTCTAAACAATAATTTACAAACATAGATATTTAACTATACAAATACGATTACAAACAATGAAACAACACAAGACAAATACCTGACTGTTAGTCCTTCTGGCTACCACACACTACAATGTTAAACTAACTTTAAAACAACAGGTGAGATCTCGTATCGAATAAACCCAAAAACAAACGTGTGTGTTCACATTTTTTCCCAATCGCGGGTTTTTGTCCAGCCCTAAAGGCGGGTCTAGATCCTACAATAATGTTTGGTTATATACACCACAAAGAAAAAGAGGTTTGTCCCCCAAGCTACAGCGGTACTGGAAAGGACCTTATTCAGTGGTGAAACGAATAAACAACCTTGTGTACAAGATACGGACGGGACCACACTCTAAACCAATTATCATTCATCGAAATTGGTTATGGGAATATAGCGGTAATAAACCTCAAACGTGGTTAGGTAGATGTAGAAAGATGAAGCTGATTCTGAAGTTGAACATTTACCTTGTAGGAGTGACAGACAAAGGCAAGCACCAGACAGGTTAAATTTATAAGGTGGCTGCCTTTGGGACAAAGTCATGTAAGGCGGGAGTAATGTGATAATAGAGTGCTTTAATGCATTCATGCATTGCCATTGGTGTGTCTAATTTGAATATGTAAATTAAAACTACTGTATATATAGAGCTTGATATTTTTAATAAATTGTTGTTATTATTGACGTTGAAAGCAAAGTGTTTCTCAGTTTCTGATAAGACAAATACACAGCTATAACAGTACTATGAGTCGCCATGGTAAATTTTTCATCACACTAGGTGCCCAGAGATTCCTCACCGATGTAGTAGGCTTGATATTACAGTCACCAACTCTAATGTAATCAATCTTAACTGTACTTAATTGTTGTCCAGTCCAGATTATAATTCAATTTATTCAAGCAGGTACAAGGCTTTAGTATTCTAAAGATGCTAAAAAACAACTGTTGAAGTGTAAATTTACACTAATTCAGTGTACAAATGGTGAATCATTTGCACCATATTTGTGTTAAGAAATACTTGTTGGTGTAATTCTACACTTTGAAAAGTCAATTTACACCTGTTTGGTGTACGAATGGAGGCAAGCAATTTACACCATCATTTTCTCTGTAGGTCAAGTGTTTCTGTTGATGTTGCAATTTCCAATGCAAAGGTTGCAGCCAACTTGCGAGGTGGCAGGTACAAAATGCAGACTGGAAAATGCGGACTGCCTCTAAAGAGGATTGAAGAAACATGTTATTGCCAAAAAGCGACTAGTTTATACATATCTATAAAAATTGGTTCAAAACGGGTGCACGAGCAATTCATAATAGGATTGCAATCCTTATGACTTTAATTTGCATGTAACAAAAAACTCAACCTTCGAACGCAACTTTTCTTTCTACCATTCTATGAAACTTCTAATTAATATTACCATTTGAGTCCAACTGATTTTATCATGTATGCTTACACGTTCATGCACCAAAAACATGCCAGGTCAATCGAATCAGGTCAATCGAATGCAACATTGTTTGCAAAAAACCGCCACATTCATGGAAACGTAGGGAAGTAACATACCTGTGTTTTCGGATGTATCACTTGTAAAATTTATATTATTTTGCAAGATATAATGAAAGATATGGGTAAGGACAAAAATTTTAAAATCTAAATTTTCAAACCTAGCTTGACTGGTATTAATGGTGAACCCTTCATCAGCAAAATTTAGGGGCCATTCACAAAGGATGTCCAAGCCGGGCGGGGGGAACCCCCCGGAACCACCTAGAATGTCACCTGCCTTTGGTGGGTGCTAATTGTGCCCCCACTTTTAGAGCTGCTCTGATGCCCCCTGGTCACTTAAGTGCTTTATATTTTATCGAAGTTTAAATAAAGAGGAAATTTAAAACTTTTAAAATTTCGACTAGAATTAGAACTCTAAAATTAATAATTGTTACTATGTTTCAACCCTCAACCTCTAATTTCGACCCTCGACAATTACCCAAACTCGTTTATTTTCAGTCTGCATTTTCTGGTCTGCATTTTGTACCTGCCAACTTGCGAGGATGAACGGGAAGATTTCTTCCTTGCATTTGATAGTATGTACAACTTTAATCGTCTAAGAGCTGCTAGAAAACTGCTACCATTGCCACAACCATACAATAATATTTGGTTAAAGATCAACAAAGTTATCAATGAACTTCATATTATATTGATCAACTTCATATGCAAGACCAAATACTCATCCGACCTGTTAAAGGAGAAAATACCTGGTTTGAATACACCAGTAGCAGAGCAAACATTTGTCTGGGCTGCTAAAGTGAATTATTATGTGCGCTATGCCAAAGTCAGGTGAAATGCATATACCAGTAGCTGTTACAAAGCAAACGGCAATCCAAATCTTTCTAAAATTCATGGTGAGGTCGAGCAACAGTAGTCCTGAGGTGATTTAACCACAGGGTGCCAGACTGTGACCTATTTATATATCAATATCTCTGTATCTATATATTGGATATTAATCCTCTGTATATTTACTAATCCATACATAATCTATATACAGTTACATTATAGCGGTCAGCAGTGGCATAGCTGGCTCAAAATAATCGTCCCGCCGAAGTTTCAATACACCTCTATTTAAACAGCAATATTTTGCCTTGGTAAAATACAAAAAAATTGTATAGCTCGATATGCACGTGCAAATCACGCTACACGAGTAATTTGACCTTTATAATCGATTTCCAACGTTTCCCGAGTGCTAGGATGTAAACATCGCATTGTTTTGGCTATTTGAACTTGAACCTCTGGTCAAAGCTCTCGCGTAAAATTTAGATATTTTGAAATACCGAAATAAAAGATGCAAATCTGCAGATACAAGCTTGAACACAACACTCTAAATAGTGTGTTAGATTGTGATTCAAACAAGACTAATACAAAAAAGAAACGTTGAAAGTGGCCGAAGTTATATAATTTCGGCGAAGGGTAAGGCTTAATAATAGTGATACATTGTTTACATTGTTCGAGTATATTGTTTATAGGTATACGTTAGTTTACACAATCGGAGTATGGCTAGTTTATAATTTATGGCTATATTACATTGTTCAACTACATAGTATCTTTCAAGCGAAACTTTTTGGTGGTATTTTCGTACTTCTACTGCAAATACTCGCGGAGTTCTTTAATATATGGAATTGACTTGACAACCTCCGCCTTTATAAAATAGCGGGACTCGGCATTAAAAACAGCCCTTCTGAGCATGCGCTGCACCAATTATCCAATCAGAAACCAGAATTTCTTGTATAGGATAGTATTGCATGTTCCGCCATATGAAAATCAGCGGAACACGAGACATGCGATTATACAAATTGCGTGAGTAAGCAATCAATTGCGTGGAAATTAGCTAATTTTGGGTTTCAGAGGTCAAAGAGCAGACAGCAACATTGCATAAACTTTAAATAAATAAATGAAAGCACTGAAATATTTATAAATTTTCAGAATAAGAAAAGCTGTGAATTCGACTTCACTATAAAACATTTCCTCACTTTTTTTTTAAATTTCTAGTCCCGCCCGGCGGGACAGTGGGACCGCTAGCTACGCCACTAGCGGTCAGTGCAGATAAGTAATCTGTCCATCTGTAATGGTTTCACAGTGAAGACGAGAAGAAACACAACAAACCAAGCTGGAGAAACAATTGGAACAACAACTATTGATTGGGAATCATGTGAAACAAAGGAAATGAGACACAGAGCAATTTCTCGTGCTTTGATTTTGAATAGCCACAAAATTATGTGCAAATCATGTGCATCAATAAATTCTTTTTACAGAACATTAAAACACGATGACAAAGAAAACATATCCACGCTGTCGAAGAAGAGGGAATCATACATGACACCAGATGAAATTAAAGCCAAGAAAAGAAATGAAGAAGGATAGTTAATAGAAGACAATGTCAGTGTGAAAAATTGTTGTCTGGAATGAAGACGATGGATAAAAAAGATTGTGATGATGTCCAAGAAATATTTGATGGCATCAATGTGGAAGAACTTGATGAAGATATGGTGAAATTTTGGGAGGCATTGGTGGCAAATGACTCCAGAGGGAAAAGATGGCATCCAAAGTAAGTTTTGCACAAGCATGCATGCATCAAATGTCCACTCCTTGTTAGTGGACCTTCATGTCAGCTGTAACTGGCCACCATGATTCCGGCTGACCAGCAGTGGTAGATACTTAACAAAATTTGTTGTTTTTTTTGGGGGGGGAAGGGGCGAAGTTAGGCTACCAACATATATAACCACCTTTTAGTGCTGGAAATCTTACTACTTCAAATGGTTTCACCTTTAATTTCTTGCAATATATACCTTGTTATACAGTATATGGCCTACCAATGCTTTCATGCTTCAAAAATTATTATAATTACAGCTTTGTTATACACAGCTATTCAACTATCATCCAAGGATTGCTGGGATTATTGGGGATTGCCTCCTGATGTCTGCCACTGCTGACCAGTACACTAAAAGGCCAATCACTCACACAGGCTTTGTTTCAGCATTGTGAGGAGGGGCATAAGTGGCAATATGTAAGGCACTGGCTAGGAACTTGGCAGCCAGTTATAGGTTCTATGTACCAACATTATTCAATCAAGTTCTCAATAACTTGTTACAAGATTGTTGCATGGCATCTTGTTAACAGGTTGAGATTTGTATTTATTTCAACCTGTTTATTGTCAATTTCCTACCCATCCATGTGTTTGTTGACTGTTTGCTTGATGAGAGGGAGAATTCATCATTATTTCAGGTTAACATATCTGATTTTTTTTCATACCATCACACCACCATATAATGAATAGATTGATATACTATCTCATGATTTGCTGTCAGGTGGCAGCAAAATGTTGACTGGGCTATTACATTTAAAAACTTGATCACTCATCGAGATCCTCTGCTTTTCAGGACTTTTACCCTGATTTTTAGTCATTCCTTTCATAGACCTCTCTTGAAACAGCATTTTTCTCCCATTTTCTTTGATTAATTACATGTCTGTAAAAATTGCCTGATTATAACCCCTTGGAAATCACAGGGTTAGGTGTGGGGGTTAGGTGTTAAATGCAATAGCTCATTAGTAAATTCTTAGACTCATATTTACTTTTGTATTACTTTGTTAAAGATAATCTGCAAGTAAAGACCACAAATGGTGTAACAAAGCTGGTTGGATTAGTGGATTTAGGTGAAACATATATGTTAAGTGTTTTGAACAAAGGTATGTGATAGGAAAGATTTTAAACAGTTAATGACAGTTGAGAAAACAATAATGTATGGCACATTGTTGCTCAATATTCATGTGGAGAAGGTGGCTTATTGATTTATAAACAAAGTGGTGTGTTGATCTCAATTAACTTATATAATCAATTTAAGCAAAGCTATAAATTGCGGTTAATGGTGTCGGGACTGACCACAGGAGGCCCAGGCTCGATTTGCCCGCGCCCGCCTGTGCCTTCCTTATAACGAGGGAAGGACGGAGACATTGAGACCAAAATAGCCCAGACTTGGCATATGTCACACGAAACTAT